TAAGCCTTTGGCAAGTCTCACGAAGGGAGGTTGAATCAGAAACCTTAGCCAAGGCTTCCAACCTGGCTTACAAAGAAAATAGCCACGAAGCAGTACAAAATTCTGGTCAACCTGAGCCATTCATAGTGAAGCCGCCGTTCCTTGAAAGGTTTGCCAAGTAAAGAAAGAAAATGAGGATTGAGAGATTTTAGAAATTTTTTACAACGTAGAAATGAATCGTCCCTTTCTTGATGCAATTAAGCAAATACCTCATTACGTCAAATTCTTGAAGGAATTGTGCACATATAAGAAGAAGTTGAGCTGCAATGAGAGAGTAAGTATAGGGGAGAATATGTCGACTATTATATAGAGGACTTCTTAATTACAAGGACTAAGGCATGTTTGCCATTTTAAGTAAAATTTGTGCTTTAGGCATGAGGAAAACCTGTGCCACCTTGGAGCCTCAATCAACATGATGCCATCATCGATTTATTCTAAACTGAAAACTGGACATTTGAAGGAAATAGGAGTCATTATCCAGTTAACTGACAGATCTATTGTTTATCATGAGGGAGTGATGGAAGATGCATTAGTGTAAGTAGACAATCTTATCTTTCCAGTTGATTTCTATATACTAGACATGAAGGACGACAAGTCTCTAAACTCATCTTACCTTTTATTGGAAAGACAGTTTTTCAGTCCTAGTAAAACCAAAATTGATGTATAGGACAGTACCCCACCATGGAGTTCGATGGAGAAGTGGTTAAGTCCAATGTCTATGATGTCATGAAGTGTTCCATCGACCTATCCTATATATATTGTGTTGATATCCTGGATTCCTTATAGTAGAAACATTTCGTTTTGTATTTTGGAGGTGAAATGAACATAATGCTCAGTAATGCATTATACACTAATGATTTGGAGGACTTGTAAGAAGACTATATGGCTGATTGGAAGTTACAAGAAGCTATGTTTTAACTGGATTCATAAAAATGACTCAAAAGTAACCTTTTATAATTTAATATTCCTATTTCTCACATCAAGATTTTGCCTTCTATTTTACAGGCCCCTAAATTGGAAGTGAAGCCACTAATAGGACACTTAAAGTATGTCTTCTTAGGAGAAGAGGAAACACTTCCCATCATAACCTCCAACAAGCTGAGTGAGACAGAGGAAGAGAAGCTTACAAGGGTATTCCACGAATGCAAAGAGGCAATTAGATGGACCATTGCCGACATCAAGGGAATATCATCCTCCACATGTATGCACTGAATACTGTTAGAGAAAGCTAACAAACCTAGCAGACAAACATAGAAACATCTAAACTCGCCTACGATGGATGTGATGAAGACAGAAATCCTCAAGTTACTGACATTGGAGTGATTTACCCCATCTCAAATAGAAAATTGGTGAGCCCAATGTAGGTAGTGTTAAAAAAGACTGAAATAATATTGATAAAAAACTAGGATGGTGAGAAAGTTTCAACAAAAATACAGAACGAATGGAGGGTTTACATTTACTGCAGGAAGCTGAATGCTTCCACCAGAAAAGAATACACTATTGCTGCCTGGATGGGTATTTAGGATTTTAATATATTTTAGTTGCTCTAGAAGACCAACAAAATACCATATTCACCTGCCCTTTGGCACCTTTATCTATAGAATGATGCCTTTCAGACTTTACAACGTCCCAACCACTTTTTAGAGGTGTATGGTCAACATTTTTTCTGATTTTGTAGAATAGAGTATTGAGGTCTTCATGAACACTTTAACAGTTTATGGAAACCTATTGGATGAATGTTTGGACAACCTCCCTAAAGTGCTAAAAAGATGCCTTAAAACTAACGTTGTCCTGAATTATGAGAAGTGCCACTTCATGTTTGATCAAAGACTGATCTTGGGTCACATAATGTCTTCGAAAGGCATAGAAGTAGACAAAGCAAAGGTATATGTGATCAAGTCCCTGCCATATCCCAAAAGCATGAGTGAGATTTATTCATTCCTTGGACATGTCGACTTTTATAAGAGATTATAAAGGATTTTTTAAAAATCACCCAACCTCGATGTAAACTGTTGCAAAAGGAGGCCAATTTTAAGTTTGATGAACCTTGTAGAAATGCATTTGACACGTTAAAGGAGAAGTTGATCATAACACCTATCATGCAGCCACCAATTTAGGACATACTGTTTGAAATCATGTGAAATGCTAGTAATCAAGCCATAGGTGCAGTTCTAAGACAACAGATGATAAAGTTTCCATATGTCATCTATTATGCTTCCAAGACTTTGGATAGTGCTTAGGTGAATTACTCCACCACTAAAATAGAGCTACTAGTTATTGTGTTTATACCAGAAAAATTCCACCTCTATTTGTTAGGAACCAAGGTTATTGTGTTCTTTGATCACATACATTAAAGTACAAAAGTCGATCAATCGCATTAACCTTGCCCGAGGCTTATTTTCTAGAAGAGGGTCTTACCCAAGCCTTGACCGAGGCAGAAAAAAAAAGGAAAACTTTCACTTACGCCTTGGTCGAAGCATACGATACTTGGTGTCCATTTTAAAATTCAAAACCTTAAAATCTTACTATAACCTTTTTGCATCTTCTCTTATCTTCAACCCCCAAATTCCAACTCCTAACCACTAACAACCCTAAACAAAAGAACCATGAGGCAAAAGAAATCAACCCACAAGACTTATGACCTTAGGCCCTATTTCATCGCGAAGGATGCCGAGTGAGCAGCATAGAAAGCCGCAAAGAGAGCAACACATAGTACACCAGATCCACTAGTCTAGCATGCACATATAAAACCAACTCCTTCTACGAGCAACTCCATAGCGAGCGACCATCCACGACATAATCCCATCATCGACATCCCTAACTCCCCACCAAAGGGGCCAGATGCCCAAAAAGTTGGATCTAGTCACATCATTAAACAACAAGAATTGCAATAACTCCATTCACAGGAAGCCACCACCGATGACGTCGAGACTGCCCAAAAAAGAGTGAGAATTCAAAAATATAGACACGTGCTTGCACTCAATGAGTCTGAACTGAGTGGCTACCTCACTTTCCACGAAGACTCAAAGAAAAAGAGGTATGGGTGTAATACCCAGAATTAATTTTTTAATATTTAAAATTAATGTATAAAATATAATTTTTAAATTTATGAATTTTTATTTAATGTAAAAAATTAAAAAAAATAGGTGGATGATGAAATTGAAAATAATTTTTGAAAAAAAGGGTGAAAATTTGGGTTTTAAGGATGTTTTTGAAAGAAAAATCAGAAACTGAGGGTTAAAACGTAATTTTAAAAAAATAGGCTACGTAGGACCACCCAGTCATCAGCTCCGACGAACTGGAGCGCGCCATATGGTAAGGCACGCTGACGCGGTGCCACGCAGAAGACCACACTGACAATCTGCGTGCCTGCGATCGGACGGTCTGAATTTGTTCTTGCAAATGTGGACGATTTAGATCTGTTCCCTCCTCAGGTGCGATCGGACGGTCGTGATTAAACATGATGAACTGTCCAGATTTATTCCCTCTTTAAATGCGATCGTATGATCAAGATCAAATCACGATGAACGGTTCAGATTCACTTCCTATTTAAACGCGATCGGACGATACAAATCAAATGCGATGGACGGTCCAGATTAAAAAGGGACGGATATAAATACTTCACTTCACACCGAACCCTAACTCTAGCCGTCAGTCCCCCTCCCTGGAGAAGAAGAACCAGTCGTCGGAAAGGGAGTTGACCGCTGCCCGGCACCGTGCCGGAGCCATCTCTGACATCTAAAAAGGTTGACTGAGGAAAAATACCCAACCACGAAGGTGAGCTGGCAGAGCCGCTGCACCGAAAAATTCTGCTGTTGGAATGAGAACAAAATCGGTCGAAATCGACTAAAACTGGCCAAAAATGACCAAGCCGAGACAAACTACCACCACGGGTAGTGGCACTGTCGCCGGAGCACGGCGGTGCCATTGTCTTGGAATCCCAAAATTAGTCAGAAAAAGTTTCTAACACCGATTTTGCATTTTTTGAGGTATTTCTAGGTACTTGGAGCATGTGTTAATGTTCGAAGAAGAATTCAGGGAACCCGAGGACTGCTAGTAGGCGCGACTGAAAGTTTAGCATTTGGACATTGATTCAGGTAAGAATCCATTACTCTATTTCTTGTTATGGAATTGAAGTTTAATTATAAATAATACGGTATTTTGCATAATTTAGAAATCACGATAATTAATCACAGGTTACTAATGGAGGCGGAATCGGTTATTATTCACTATTGATCTTGTTTGATTGATTTTACTATTTCGAATACATAATATTACACTAGAGTTGGTATGATGATTCAGTTGTGTTTTCCTTGATGCATGTATTGCTTATTTTGTGTGATCTACAATTAAATTTTGAAATTAGAAATTAAATGTAAACGAAAAATTGTTTGATTAAATGACTGAATGAATGGTAGCCTTACTGGATATCTTGGGAGATGGTAGACGGACCTGATGCATAGGGAATCCTACTGTGAACATTGCCTCATACCGGATAGGGTATCGAGAATTGGTATTTTGGCGCTTATACCGGAGGGGTATGGGGACGACTCATTTTACCCTCATACTGGACGGGGTATGAGGACGATCCGTTACTTTAAAATGTTAAATAAGGGTTCACGCGTAGTAGGTACATCCCTATGGACCCCCACGAATACTAATAGACAGATAAAAAATGAAAGTTGTTATTCTCACTTAATTGGATATGAGATTATGATATTGTCGTGTTATTGCCTCTATAGATTAGGTTTGGAAATTTCGCTACGGTAAGTGTACAATAAATGATTTTTATTTATGATAAATAAATTTACTTAAATTAAGAGCTCAATTAGTAATTTTCATGATTTTTACCAATCTTTATTTTTGTATTTTATGAGTAGTGTGATATTCT